TACAATTTAAATGTCTGAGACAAAGCCTGAATGGAAAACTGAGCGACAGGGGCTGCCCCAAGGTTTAAAAGCAGGCCAGGGGCACAACTTGTGAAACCTCCAAGATGTCCTGCCCTCAGGCTCAGTGTCTAACCACTGAGGGTGAGCAGCCCACCAAGTGCTACATGCCACGCAACTTCCATTCTGGGATGGGAAAATAAAAGATGAGGCAGGCCAGTGCACAGCTCAGGCTCTGCAAGGGTTCAGCTGTGGGAGCTGTATCCTCTGGCACATACAAACAAGGTTTTTTTAATGCCAGACAGTCTGCCTCCTGACTGTCTTTACAAAGAGCCACAGGTCAGCAGGCCCCAGCCTGTGTTGCAGCCTCCCAGGTGGCGGTCCCAGAAGAGTTAAGAATTACTGAGTCATGAACACAGGTCAGTTTATAATAAAGTTCAATCTACTGTTCTGCCTGGAAGGTCAAAGACATTACTTCAAAAACTGAAACTGTGCTTAGAGGTCATTGCCCAAGCTCAAATTGCAACAGCACAACCACATAAACCACAAAAACTCAAGAGACATTGCTGGAGAAGTCAAAGGGTAAGAGAACATTGCAGCCTGGACCTTGAGAAATACAGAAACCCTGAGGCAAGGTAGGTCTTGGCTGTGGAGAATATCCCTAATCTGCAGAGCACAGGCTGAACTCAAAGAACACTTAAACTTTGAGCTACACAGAGTATTTTAAGTCGAAGAATCATCAAATGGTTTGGGAAGAGACCTTAAAGATGATCTTATTTCACCCCCTTATTTCATCCTTAATCGTATTTCTTGGCCAATTTACTGTTCACTGACTATTTTGCTGCCATCTGTGTATGAACGACTTGAATGTAGGATCTCACTCTGTGGCAGTTATCAAAATGAAAATACACACCTCAAAACAAATCACAGGAATTCTACAGGAATTATATAGAAGCAATACAATTGAGCAGTTCTATCAAGAGAAAAACCCAGCAGGGTACTGTGACAAAAGGCTTACAACATGCATATAGGACTTAGTGACCACTACCATGAAAACATAAGGCATGTTTAAATCCACAATTAGGCTCACAGCAGCAGCTTAAAAAACTTAACTAGGTCATTATGGCCTGAATCAGATGAGCCAGGATACTACATGATCTGGACTAATGCCAGAGCAAAATGAGTCTTTAAGCTCAACAGACAGAAGTCCCAGACTGATAGTAAAGTCTCTTTTGACCTCTTCCTACCTTCCAGATGAAGTAGATATGACTCAGCCCCCTTCCAGACTGCACCACTTTTGAAACTACAGTGATGTAAATTCTATCTAAAACCCCTTGTGCTGAAAGGTGCTTTGGTGTTGGCTGGGAATTGTTTCCTAAGACACTGGTGTCAAGCACTCAGGTGTAAGCAGCTGGCACCCTGAGCCAACATTTATGCCAGGTTCTCTTCAGAGAGTGCCACCCATCACTCAAGGCAAACATTCTCATTGAATCCAAAGCTCCAGAAGTGTCTCGGATTTCAGTGTGTTACTCAGTATGTGAACTAGCCCAGCATCCATGGCAACAGATGAACCTGAGACATTTCTGTGTCCCCAACCTTGGTTCTGTTAAATGTCTGCAGTTTGATGTGATGGGGGAACATTTCAGCTGACAAAATGGACAGAAGCAGCTGCTTCTGGAGCCATGAGCCTTGGGTTTGTCTATACTTGGAGATAAAGAGCCAGGTTCTGAAAAAGGGGTGCAATATACATCTAACACAGTCATTGCAAGGGACACAGACATCTGGGCTTGGAGGCAGTGAATGCGGATCAAAAAGCTGCTTTGGAATGGTGGATAAGCCTATTGCAGTTTTTCCATGGTGTGGGGGAAGAGATGGCTGGGGAAAGGATGAGCCTCCTGCTCTGGAGAAAGGAAGAGTTTTTCCAGAGTTGATCAGGCAAAATGTATCTATCTAAGAAAGCAAGCAAGCAGTGGAACTTAGAAAGGCTGATTTCCCAGGGCTCGGGGTTTGATTATCCCATGTCTAAAGAAAGTGGGAGCTCTACTCAGAGCTTCTCTAGAAGCAGAGGCATGTGTCCCGTGTGGGTTCATTAAGGTCTAATAATGCAGCTGAGCTTACCCCTAAACCTCCCCTCAAGCAGGGAATTAATTTGTGTGTGTTTGCTTTGCCTGGCCACCTATTTTCACTGAACTTCCCAGCTGAAATTGCCTGGTGAATTCAAAGGCTTTTACAACAGGAGTGACATGCACGAAATTAGATGATACAATCATATACACCTCATTCCCTTCAGAAAGTAGGTTAAAAGTAATTTAGGATGCTTTTCAGCACAGAACTCCTAATGGCTGACCATTTCAGAATGAAGATTTTTATTGTGTTTTCCTGTACTGTGATGCTACATAGGAGTAACGAGGGGAGCAGAGACTGAAATGGGGTGCAGGCAGTGGAGGCCTGGTCCTATGGGTGACCAAGGCACAGAATATTTCAAGTACGAAGAGCCTGCTAATTGGACCCATACAAGGCCTGGCAGCTCTTCCCCCTGCCACCAAAGCCACCAGGAAATCCTTGCTTCCTCAGCTGTTTCTAAAAGGACACTACTAATGACTACTGCTAATTTGGATTGTAAACAGCCTTTCTCAGACCTAGGAAAGTCTACATGACTCTTCTCCTAACTGGAAGAATTATTCCTCCAGGTCTTGGGCTGTGCTGCAGGTTTCCAAGTCTGGAGCAAGGACTGACCCTACAAATAAAGAGTCACCACTGTCTTGCATGTGCTTCATGCTTTCAATCCATTTGCATTTTTTAGCTGCTGGCACCATTAGGGGAGATGCTGTTCTCAATTAAAACCAGCCCATTGCTTCCCTAAGCTTAATTAGAAGCAGGGCTGTACATCCTGGCACCAGCAGTATTTTCTTTTCAATTAATGGACTTAACAGGCAGCAGATGCCAGTGTCTTCCTTTCTCCCCTCTCCAGCAAGCATCTTGCCCCTATTCTAAAATCATAGGCAATGATTTTAAAGAGATAGCTAATTCAGATACTGCTTCTAAAACTGAGAATAGTTGTAAAAAACCCCCAAATAAATCCATGAGAAAGCCCATAGTAATCTTTCATCTTTGTATTTTAAAGCAGGTGAGAAATGCTGAGCAAAAAGGGGGATGGTGAATTAAATAACACGATAGTCTAGGACTAACCTTCTTGTGTGACTTCCAAAATCCAATGGTAAGACTGCAAAAAGACTGCAGTTAATTTTTCTTGATAAAATAATTCACACACTTCAACTTCCTTGCATTATTTCACTGATCATAAGTTGCATTGATCCTAAGTTACTCCTCCCATTGGAAACTGTAGTTTCTAATTAAATGTGGTGTTGATCTTTTATTATATAGCAACATATCATAGCCTTTACTCTGGTAAGATATTGCCTCTGTTTTAACACTGTTGCCTGCTTTCATTAAACTCTGTAGACCTTCCTCTCTTTAAATGACTACTCCTCTTTGGCTGGAATTCGCCAGACTTTTCTGCTCTATACTTTTGGTCAGGAATTCAACAGAAATACAGCACACATAAACCTTGCTTCCTTGCAAACTTAGTTAAAAACAGCCCTGGGGGAATCACAGCTCAGGATGACAAGGCTCCATGGGGGACTACAAGGAGGCTTCAGATACACCTGATAACAATGATGCCTTTTCTGGCAGGCCTGGGCAGGAGGGTGTTCCAGAGGCATGGATGAATCACATGTAAAATCCTGCCTAAAGTCTATCAGATAAAACCTCCTTTTAAACCTCAAGGGCTAGTAGCCATGACATTAAAGGATGATTTCATAAAGCAGACTGATAGCTGTCCTACTCCTGTTTTGCTCCTTACCCTGTAAGTAAGGAAAGGGGGGAAACCTTTTCCCCACCCCTTGTGGGTAAGGAGGAATAGAATGCCCTAGCAGAGAAGCACCAAAATCCACACAGGGCCCTAAATTAGGGCTTCCATCTTACAACAGTGAGCCGCCACTACTTCACAAAGCAATCCTGAAACCCAACCATATTTAATGCTTGAGAACATCTATCTGTCCCAAGTGCCATGATAAATTTTGTGATGTGCAGATCCTTCTTTTACTGAGACTGCTGAGCACCCACCTCTGCACTGGTGCCCATCCACCAGTTACTGTCCCCCACAGTCTGCTGTACCTGGCAATAAATGGTAACATATGGCAATATCTGACAGGTTAGCCTACTTGGTTCAGTGTCCTGAACGTCTAAAATCTACAAAAGCTCACGGATTTTATTTGTGAGCACTGTAATACAAAAGGCCCAGTGTCCCCCTTCTCATGTCTTACAACCCAGGCCAGTGCTGGTGCTCGTTTCACAGCACAGAAAGAACAGTTTGCTTTCTTTTAGTCTAACAAAACTAACTTGCCTTTCCATTAAGCAGCTGGATCAGATCATGTTTAAGAGAAACTGTCCTTAATTAATTTGATAAGATTAAATTTATTTTAGAAAAAGCATAGGAGCTGCCCAAGGGAAAATCTCCCTCCCCACTCTATAATACAAACTGGTTCCAATTCCATATGCTTTTTTCATGGAAACTGTGAATGTGATAGATAGGGTCATTCATAGCATTAAAAAAGGGAAATAACATAATTGATGCTGACATCAAAATTATTACTCTTATTTCAGGAAAGCAGAGAACAATTGGGAAAAGAATAACCAAACAGAAGGGCAAGGGGAAGGCAAATAGGGGAGTTTTTCATATGGTAAGTCCACTTTTTGGAAACTGAAATGAATCTGGGATGGTTTCCTAATCTGAAAGTGTTGCTTACATCGGAACTGCGCCCTTTTAATGCTTTCTTATTTCGACATTTATTTTTTTACTGAAAACAAAGTATGTAATTGCATTCCCTGTATGAGCAAACCAAAACAAATATATAAAAGAGCATTTCTCACAGAGAGAGAGGGAGAGAGAGAAGAGAGTCCAGAAGTGTCCCACCCAAGTTTTAGACATTTACCTGAGATAACTGACTTGGAAACTTGCTGCACACCTGAAATCTGAAGCACATTCTGGGAGGCATCATTCTGGTTCTGTGGACTACACTCACAACCTGTCCAGTGAACACAAAGGACAGGCAGGATGAAATTCTCCAGTGAGCCTGGCTGGAGCTGAGCTCAGTGGGCTGACAGACAGAATAATGCTGTACCTGGCCACGAAGGTGACTACAAAGACTTGATTTTGATTCTCTCACCCAGCACCCAACTACTCCAACTAATTCCCTACCACTTGTATGGCAGAAATCCAATTATATCAGTTCTGCTTGCTGTGACAGTATTAGACAAGTCTTTAAGCATGATTAATGCTGATAGGAAATACAGAGAATGTCTGATTTGCCTGTTTTTAATGATCCCTTTACCTGCCTCATTCTTCCAAGCTTTATGGAACTCCTTTTCCATGCTGGAAGACTAAGAAACAAATGTTATTTTCAGAAAGCTTCCTGACCAGCACACCAGGAATCAAATGAGGCAATTTAACTGAAAGAGCCCACTCTGCAGGAGACAGTAAAAGCTGCCACGTACAAGATTTAAGAGAACTGAGGAAGAAGAGGAACTACTACTTTGACACCAGGCTTGAGAAGATGGATTCTGTCCAGGAAATCACACTACATCAGCTTATGGTAAGTCTGGCTCAGGCATTCTAACTCAAGGATTTTTATCTGATGCAATCCATTTTGCATATGCTAGTTTGATTTAGGAAATGCAGCTCTGTCTAGATGAGAGTTACTGATCTTTTTCCTGATGTTTTTCTTGACATCCCCTAACAGCCTCTGTTTCAGAGCTAGCTGATGTGCACGGGTGCTACAAGAGCTCCTGCTGTTACTGACAGCCCAGCCTCAAAGCCAAAGGCTTTATTTCAAGTCCTCTCCAAGGCCTCATCTGCCAGAATCATGAGAGAAAGGTCTTGAGAAAAACCCTTTGGCAAAAATCCACTTCACCAAGCCAAAGGGCCTGAAAAGTGTTCATTAGAGCATTTTAGGTGTTTGTTTGACATGGACCTTACCTTGACCATCATTGTTAGCACAGACTGGGAATAGCTCAGCAGTTCTCTCCAGCCTCTGTTTTTCACAGTGGTTTCATGGCAAGCAGCTTTTCTCTCACCTTTCTGTCTGTACTATAGGCAAACAAGCAGGGATGGAAACAGATCCTACATTTTTTATTTTCAGGGGAAGGACGTAAAATAACACTGAGGAGAAAGGACAAAGGGGGACCACAACAATGCAACAACCACCTGGTGAAACAGCACATAGATGAAAGCACGTGTTAATTTGGATAGAATTATGGTCTTTTCATTTATTAAAAGAGTCACTTCTGCTCCCTTGGATTATTGTGAATGAAAGATCAGGACAAAACTCATATATTCTTCCCCTACTCACTAAATAAAGTAAAAATGCAGATATCTTGCTGAGAACCAGCAAAGCCCCACTGCAGCACCAGTCAGAGACTGTAAAAAGAAGTTACACAGAAACTGGCTCTTTACACACCTCTTAATTCTGGATATTGTGCATTGAACAGTTTCTGGTTTTTATACCTATCCACTTTGCTGTTTGTACAGGTGTTTATGCACCAGGGAAGCAGGTTTTAAAACAGGAAAACAGGTACAAAACCATAAACACTAACTAACAGAAAGTGTACAAGAGATGGACTTGTTCCAAGTGGCTGTTGTTCCTTTAAAATATTGGTGGGAAGGATAAGGAGCTTTGGGATTTGAGCAAAGTTAGACTGTCCTGCTCCAGCTAATAACAAACTTTATTGTAGTTCTCATCTCAGTGACAATAAATCCACTCAATTTCTTAGCTTAAACAGCACTTTATGGGATCCAATGTTTATATGCCCTTCAAACCTAGGAACTAAAAGAAATGCAGTGAAATATAGGACTGATCAAATATTATGTTTTATACACACACACACATGCTTCAGAGATATTAAACACTCAGTGTTTGTTACTCCTAAGAGTAACTAAATTTTAAAATAAGAAAAGACACATTACAAATTGCTGCTAATCATGCCATAATTTTATCAAATGTTGAACATTCCTGCCGGAGACACTGCCTCTTCTTTGCCATAGATCTAGCAGCAGGGAGCTCCCATAATAATACAAAAATACAGCCCGACTGAATTTCTGAGATGGGAATACTCTGTACATCCTCTTGCCACGCCAGGGAAATGCATTTGGCAGCTGACTCCTACAGCTTGCCTTTAAAAGAAAGGCCAAACATCCGAGGACAGGCAGGAGAGCTCTTCCTGGAGCGAGCAATTCCTTTCTCCTGTTCATGATCCCAGGATTACATTGCTCTCATTGAGTCCATTCATCGGCTTAAAACCAGCACCTCACTGCAGTGCCCAGCATATGAAGAGTGGCTGAATTTCAACTAGTTCCTCTGGAAATGCTTAAAAAACACACACCAAAGAAACCTCTCAGACATCTTCCAGGCAGACTTGGTGAGTCTGTTCTTAATGCTCACCTTCCTGTAGCAGAAAAGGTAATTCTTCATTCCCACTGGCTCATTTAAACACATTTAAACACGAGTATTTAAAGAACTACTGAGTCATGATGAAAATCTTAGAAAACATGATCTCCACAATGTACAGATAAGAGAATGTGCTTTGATATTTCAGCTGATTAAATAACTGTCTTCAAAAGCTTGCCCTGCTTTCCCATGCAGATCAGTCAGGGCAACAAAAGGTATCATCTGTCTGTGAAACTATTATACCCCTAGACTTTCATCACTGCTCCTATTTCAATATATTGTCTTCCAGGTGCCTAAAAAAAGGCATTTGAGTGAATGCAGACTAATGTAATACATTATCTGTCTGCTCTCAGTTGTAAAAAAAATTCACTGCAACATTAGCTTAGAAGTTGAGTGACCAAGTCTACAGTGTGTCTACTTATTGTGCCCTGACCAAAGAGCAGGAATGGAGTATATGCTCCAACCTCCCCTCAAACACCAGTTCATCTAATTCTCAGTAACATTTAACTACTTAGAATATAGGGAATGGGTGATTTAAAAAAACCAAGCCAAAACAGAACCCCTCTGGACTTGGTCTTCAAAACAAGACAGTAGCTGAAAGCTCTTGTACAGTTCTAAAAGAGGAAATTTTGTTTTTCTAACTAAATCCAAGTGTGGCTTTAATATACTCTGCTTCTGATCATCTTCTTTGTCTTCTCCCTCACATATAAAATGGACCTTTACCCTAAGACAGGTATGTCAATTTATGTGAACTTCATTACCTCATGGTTTTCATACAGAACTCAAACTTGCATTTGATCATTAACTTCCTGTTATAGCTGTCATTAGTCATTCCAAGAAAAATAAGTAACAAAATACAACTAATATAATATAACAAAGCCTTCAAAACAAAGGTTTTGAAAAGTTTGGATTTTTGGAAAGCAAGAAGCAAAAACACCAAGAAAGCAACAGAGCAGTGAAGCAGTGTGTTTTAGCCTATCTATCTACTTAGAAACTGAAGAGCTGCATTTTCAAAAGCAAAGGGCACATTAGCAAGTTTCTCCCAGACTTTTAAAATACAACATCCATCTTGCCTATCCCATAATGCAAGTGCTCCTCTCAAAGGGCACGCCCTGGCATGAAAGAAATACGGCTGCACTTCTCAGCACAGCCCTGGCAGCTGGATTTTCATGTTGTAACAGAGAGCACCCCAAGGCAGGTTAGCAGGGCACCTGGCTGAAGTCGGCTGGGAATGTAAGGTTTGGACTTTCAATTTCAAAGCTAGGCCAGGCAGCTGCTGGTTTTGTTCCTTCTGTAAGCTTTGTAGCAATTCCTTCTAAGATTCAGTCAGGAGTGATACATGCTCTGGCCATGACCGGAGCATCATCCTGGATTAAAAATGTGCTGACTGCTCTAGGTAACCATCCTGAGTTGTTCATGTACTTCTGCAATTGGACAGAGTAATGCAGAATGTAATGTGTGAAAATTGTCACCCCATCAAGTTAACTGGGTGCTTATTTTGGCAGGAGAGATTGAACAGGCCGTGATAAAAAACAAAAAACAAAAAAACAAACAAACAAAAAAGGAAAACCGCTCCCAATTTCTGATCAGTAACTGGGTTTTCACAGTTTAACAGTTAGCCAGCAAAAGTTTTGGGGAAAAATACTCCCAAACTTGTGCAAAACAAGGTTACATGTTAAACAGGCTAAATGAGTTTATATTGTGTCTCTCCCATTATGAATGTGTCCCTACAGTACAGTACAGTATTTGTATCAATTGGGCATTATGCATCCAGTGGGAGAACTATTAAGAAATTAATTGATTTCATTGTCAGGCTGTTTCACTTCCTTCCTCCTCCTATCCTCTCAAGTTTACATCTTCCTTCAATTCCTGTTCTAGCTCTATAAATCACTCTCCTTCTTGTATATCAATATTTGCCTTGAAACTGCATTCCTCTCAGCCACTAATTTTTAAATTAGTAAGTAAAACCATAGGATTTTTTTGGCAAGAGTTACTCTGTGCAAACTCTGGCTGTTGGCTGTGGTTGTTCTGCTCATTTATGACCAAACTGCTGGCAGTACATGCACCACATTCAGCTCTACGTGTTCTTTCCCTCAAAACCAGAGTAGTGTCGTCTTCCAGGTTCCTCAAGCCAAGTCAAACCAAAAAATACATCCTTGGTATGACTAACTAGAGGTCAAACCCGTGGAGATCCAGCAGCCTGCACAAAGAAATTCTTCTGCAACGTGCCTCACCATGCAGGTGAAGTAGTCTTTTGATTGTTGAATAAAATGGCCTGATTTCAGTCCTCTGTGGGATAGATACTCCTTACATGAAGAACCATTTGAGCTCTGTGGCAGCCTGTGAAGTGTGACTACTTTATCAGAGAGGATTCTTTGCAGAAGGTAGAGCTGATTAAATTAGTAAAAGAGATTCCAGAGATCTGCAGAAGGCCAGCAGACACAGATCTTACTCCAGCTTCATACAAACTCCACTCTAACACCCTCTGTGCAGCTCAGGATGTGTTCCCTGTCTGGGGCAGATACACCCAAGGCAGAAAACTCTCCTGCAAAAGATTTGACATTGCCCCCTGAAACACAAAGTGGGCTGACACTGAAGATCACTACAGGAGCTTATTTCTCACCATTCCCCTTTATAGCCCTTGAGCAAGCAGGGAAACACAAATGGTTCTTGATGGGCATAACTGCTGCCAAAACTGGAGGAATCAGAAATGCATACCTATGCTTTATGAGCCACTCACACAAGGACAAAGCAGACAAACTGAATTTTATTTGGTTTTCATTTGAAGCCTTAGATTTTAAGCACTTTTCTTCACGTTGGTCCAACTGACCTTGGCACTTTTATCTTTATGACAGAGTTTAGGTGGAGTCCAAAGATAAAATTCTCTCTTTGGTTTCCTGCTTCCTCTTCCTATGATACTTAAAACTGGTGAGCACAGGGTATCTTTGTGATAATCTTACAAACAAACTGCATGCTAGATTTTAGATAGTAAGCAAATATAAATGTGTATATCATCATCTGGTTCTATTTTACAGCTGCAAGTCATACCTATTCTTTGGGCTTAAACCCACAGTATTTTACTTTAAACAGTACTGGTTGTATGGCAGATAAATAAATACAAGAAGAGACAATTTATCTACATTTTCAATGAAAGGGTTATGAAGTCCTTGCTATGAGGCAATTAAAATAACACAGAACTACAAATGAGGAGATACCGTCCTCAAGTAAGCAATAAAAAGCATGAACAGAAGAGAAAAAAAGCCTGAAATGATCTTTCCATGGCACAGAAATGATACTGGGCTCAACCCCTGTATTCTCCTGGGTAAGTGACACAACTTCCTTGGGGTTCAACAGCACTCTGCCTGGCATTTGAGTATCTGGAAGTGAGGAGGAATACAGCAGCAAACTTTTACTTCAACCAGGCAACACAGAAAGCCTCCAACTGCAAAATTAAACAGGGAGCTCCAGGAAAAGAGCTGCCTAAACAAAACTCCCCAAGACCTGACATCTCAAAAACACAAGAGAAGCAGACAAGCACTGAAATGGCCCCAAGGACCTGTGACTCCTGAGTTATGCTGTGATGGATCAGCCTTCCAGAAACAAGATCTGGAACACCACGATGGGCAGCACCGTGCTCAGTTTGCACAGACAGAGGGAACATAAGTAAAATTGATAGCAGTGAAAACTCAAAGTGCTATGCTGGCTAAGTCAGTCCTCTAGATGATTACTGATGACATCTTATCATCTACAAACCCAAAACATCTAGAAAAGACCAATGAGAAAGACAAAATTGATTTTAGTGAAGACCTGCAACCTATTTAAACAAATGCTGTCAATGTTGCAGTGTAAAATTTCTTCCCCAAAAGGGCTGTACCAGCAGTAGCTCAGCCACCCAGGGCAGTGGTGGAGTCACTTCTTAATATAAAAAAAAAAAAAAAAATTAAAAATTAAATAAAGAACATTTTAAATCCCTGGAGAGATTTAAAAGCTGTGTGGATGTGGCACCTGAGGACATGGTTTAGAGGTGGCTTTGGCAGCACTGGGTTAATGGCTGGACTTTATGATCTTAGCAATCTTTTCCAACCTAATGTTGGAATGATTCTGTAATTCCACAGCAACAAAGCAGAGCAGGCTGTGCCTTTTCATGTACAATCATACGGTCCAGGGAAAAGTATGTGAAATGTCACAGTTACAACTGAAATTAAGAATTGTTTACCACAACCAAACCCTCTCTGTTATCTGTTGTACAGAAGGGGTAAAAGGGATCAGTTCTGTGTGTGGAGTTATTACAGAAATTATGTGCCAAAAAGGTTTTTTTTGAAGGAAGCATTTATTTCTATTAATAAAAGACACAAAGAGTAATAATTAATTTACTGTCTCAGAATACTAGGACAGAGGAGGGATTTGACTATTTAAGCAGTACTACTTCAACAAAGAAGAAAAGG